TGTATTTATAGTCAGAGTCCTAGAGGGCATTGGACTGCAGGGAACATACCTCAACATAATTAAAGCCATATATAAGAATCCCACAGCCAACATCATTCTAAATGGAGAAAAACGGGAAGCATTCCCATTGAAATCTGGAAACAGACAAGGCTGCCATCTATCTCCACTTCTCTTTAACATAGTGCTTGAAACTCTTGCAAGAGCAACAAGACAAGAGAAGGAAATTAAAGGAGTAATAATTGGAAAAGAAGAGATCAAATTATCCCTTTTTGCAGATGATATGATATTGTATCTAAGAGATGCTAAAAATTCCACCAGAAAACTCCTAGAAATTAACACGTTCAGTAAAATGGCGGGTTATAAAATTAACCTACAAAAGACTGTAGCCTTTCTATATACCAAAACCAGGCAATCAGAGAAAGAGCACATGGAAACACTTCCCTTCAAATAGCTGCAAAAATAATAAAATATCTCAGAATATGCCTGCCAAAAACATTAAAGAGCTCTACAATGAAAATTTTAAATCTCAAAAGAAAGAGACCGAGGAAGACATAGAAAAATGGAAGGACCTCCCATGCTCATGGATTGAAAAGAATTAATACTGTGAAAAAGACCATCCTACCACAAGCCACCTATAGATTCAATGCAATGCCAATCAAAATCCCCATGACATTTTTCAAAGAATTGGAAAAAACCATCCTAAGATTCATATGGAAGCACAAAAGACCTCAGATACCCAAACCAACCCTGAGCACTAAGAGCAATGCCGGGGCGATTAGGATTACTATGCCAGATTTCAAGCTGTATTACAGAGCTATAGTTAAAAAAACAACATGGTACTGGCACAAAAATAGACCCACAGATCAATGGAATAAAACTGAAGATCCAAATATGAGTAAATGCAATTTCAGCCACCTGATATTTGACAAGGTGGCCAAGAATATTCACTGGAGGAAACACAGCATGTTCAGAAAATGGTGCTGGCAAAACTGGATCTCCGCCTGTAAACCCTATCTTTCACCCTGCACAAAAGTCAATTCCAAATGGATCAAAGACCTCAATGTAAAGCCTGAAACTCTAAAACTGTTAGAAGAAAACATTGGGAAAAACCTACAAGATATAGGTGTAGGAAAGGATTTTCTAAACTCATC